TTGCTGTTCCATGTAAGCCATGAACCTTTTTCTGCAATGCAAGTCAAAGCGAGAATATTGATTCTAGGTTGGCCGTTCCGTTCAAATGTTACTCTCGCGAGCTCCCTATCGGGATATAGCGATTCCTTGGGCTCCATTTTATGCTAGCGATTGGGATGCTGCCGATATGTTCCCAGCATTCCTGCAATTCTTCGTTTATAAACCAACTCTGCTTCAATCTCTCAGTTCACCACATATTGTAAGTTTCTTGAGCTTTTCCTTCATTTTTGTTTTTCCAAGTTGCCTAGTTTAGTCCCACAAGCGTCGTTATTCAAAAAGCTCTATTTTTCCAATTTTTTTAGGTCAACGGTTCTACAGTGTCGGATGAATTTGCTAACAACGTCTGCCTTGCTTTATCGCGAGCCACTCTTTGGGAGTCATACAGATCGTTGTTCTGGTCTGATTTCGATCTAACCATATTCGAAATGGAGGACAGAAAGTAAGCCCATATCTTCCATGTATTTCTTACGTGAAACCTGTCCGTATTACGAATTAATTTTTTCTCCTAGGAAGAAGTTCTGGCTGGATTTATATCGTGAAATGTCAAAGGAATATTTCCCGTTCAAAGCCGGAAGGAACGACTATCAACCGTGCTCATTCATACCGATATTCGGCTTGCAACCTTATATGGGGATGTATTACAGGAAATTGTGGACTGAGGTGATCTACGCTTTCTTAAAGGCACATGTCGTAATTTCCTAATGGGTGCAATTTTTTCGCGCGTAAGGGGCGGGGGCCACGATGTACCACTTTAGTCGCTCGAAGTTGCATAGTAGAGACGCCAGAGGCTAGCGGCCTGCTGGAGCCCCTTTGCCTGAGATCCGCCACTTCGCTTCTCTACGAAAAGTTGACATATCAGGCGGGCATAAATAAATCAACGCAGTTAAGGCGTCATGCAAGATGCAGGAGACCGTATTCGCTTGAAGCATAAAAACGGAAGTTCCGGAGAACTCGTCAGAAGTTGCTTAACTCGTCAACTCGAGAGTAGTTGTGACTAGCACTTTCCATGCTTCCTTTTGGTTTCTTTTTCTTCTCTGTTAAACCATTTAATACCCATAATGCTGTGATATAGCCCCACAACCCACCACTTCCACCCACGGAAAGTGTCTTTAATTAATAATGTTTTTAATTGGTTCATTGCAGACTTCGTTAGCGCGAGTTCCCACAATTTTCAGATGCTTGCATTAGATATTCATGATACGTTTGACTTCGAAGACGATGTGGCGAAAACAGGTGAACGGTTGAAGGCCACAATTTTGTCCCGAGGATCTGGTGATGTAGCCAAGGAGCTCTATCGGCGGTTTCAGGTAGTTTTAAGTCCCTTATTATACTCTCCTATCTTGCTGAAATGTGTCTTTAAGGGTCGTGATCCTAGCGTTGGAGCAATATGTGACTTCTACGATCCTCCGTCCTTCTATCAATTAGAAGCTGAGGAAGCTGGTAGAGGATAAGGAAAGATGTTTAAGAGTAGTTAGGTAGAGAGCTATTTCCTTACAAAGGCTTTTAGGCCTTGATCAGATTAAAAAGCATCCAGTGATCATCTTAAACGTACTCTATTTTCTGGGGTATAGGGAGCCCTAAGTCCAAGCTAGCAGGAACACATGCGGTATAGGGAGCCCTCAGTCCAAGCTAGCAGGAATTGCGCGTGATAAGGGAGAAGGTGCGCCTGAATCACGTGCGTCTTATACCTCAGAAAATAGGGTAGTTGATATTATATACTTCCAGCCACGTGTTTATTTATGTGTTGAAATGAAATTAGATTGCTACGAGACATTTCCTTCAGCCAAAACCTTTTCACTCATTAGTGATGCACGCAAGACAGTAATAATCCCTGCAGAAGATTGGCCTGTGCAGGGACGTAAGCTGGGGCGAAGCCGAAAAGCCTTTCCCGATTTCTTGCGGACTCAGGATAGCATCATTGGTGAAGAAAATCGTCTCGGCAGGCTCCCATCCTGCCCCCATCGCACACCCTATCGTTTGCAGGGATCATGACTGTATAATCGCGCCGCGCGGCTACGCGCACGAAACTCACATACTACGTGCTCGGCGACCGCGAAAACCCATTCGCGATAACTTCAGGACGTTAGAGAGAATAATGTGGGGAAATATAAGGGCGTTACCATGAAATAAGGGGAGCAGCTAATGTACATACGCGCTTAATGCACTCGCGACGCTGGGACGCCGCGCACAGGAACGCGATGATTCAGTCTGCAAAGGATGACTGCTGTTTTTTATGCGAAGTATTTTTTTGAATCGATTATTTAAAGCCTGTTTGCTACAAATGAAGCATCAGGCAGAGATAAGTAGTATTGACAAACCGTTTTCAACCAGATGCTGTAGGGAGCAGGCGACAATACTGGATCATAGCGTTCGTATCAGTGGTTTTCCAGCAATGGTGGTGACTTACTGCTGTGTGAAATATAATCATCAGCAATTATGGTGAGCGAACGAGAGTATGTTGATGGTTTATAATCAACAGCAGTGATCGCATCAGTCGCGACGTATGGACGTGGTATGACGTGCCGGTAGGGGCTTATTGCGTGGCGCATTATGTCCATTTCTCTGTCTTATATATGAAGTTAGCTCTCATACATAATGCCGACCTTGTCGGTCTGCTTGAAGCCGCGGCTTGATTCGAATACCGATGAGAGTAGCCGATCATCTTAATATCTTGTCGATACCGTCAATTACCAATCTAATGTTTCTGTATTATCACGCTCAACTCGATTGTTTAGTTAGTTCTTGTTACTTTTCTACGGTGTTCTGCTTTTGTGCTGATCCTTTAGGGTGGCAATACGGCTCGCGTTATCATAGAATGTATCATTGTGCTCCAGAGCATCGAATTAATGCAGCGTGTCGTTGTGTGGCTAGTCCATTGAGTAGAGTTTGGAAATTGTAAAATTGACCCAGTATGTAGTAATACTCAAGATTTTTTTATTTGTTTTTGTTGTTGTAGTACGTAAATTTGTTACGAGAATAAAAGATTTATATTTTTGAATGTTTTTGTGCTTCGGATGGTGTCGTCCTTAGTCCGATATCGCTTTGAGATTTTTTACGAAACCGTAGCATATTCGTTTTAGAATAAACATTTTAGAGGGTATGTCCAATGCTACCAGCACTGCAGGTGGAGGAGACACGAAAGCACCTGAGACAACGGTGGTTACTGAGGTGCCAGAAAGTTTACACAGAGTGCTCTTATTAATGGTTAAGAACTTCTTTTCAAAGGTAAGTCAGATTCTGTGACCGAGGGCACATAACTGAGAGGGTAAGAGCGACCCCTGTGGCGTTGTGGATAGCGCACTAGTCCGTTCAGCGATAGATGAGAGTTCGAGTCCCGCCTGGGGTATGACTATTTTCCATCACTCAGCATTCTTGTGACGACTTTCGAAACGCGTACTGTGGCGGTAACCAGTAGCTATCATGCTTTAACAACAAAATGAACGGTTGGGGTCCTGTCTGGTGCTAACTTTGTCTGGTGCTAACGCCATAACTCAGTACTCTGAGGATAACATTCGAGGCGCGATCTAAGTCAGTGAAAAAGATGTAGCTGTCGGAGTTCTGAAGAGCCCTTTCTGAAAAATGTGTCACTTATTTTACTTTTGCTGTAATGGTGTTATGGATGCGATAGGGGTCTGTGAAGGATTCCACCCCCCACTCGCCACCAACACTTCACCCCTCTTTGCTCGCTTGTTCATTGTGTAAATGTATATTTGACGGAAAACCAGATCGCTCTTCCTCACCTGGCCTCTTCATTATTCCTAAGGGCCACGGTCTTTGAGAGGTTTCCCATATGTCTGTATTTCAGGTCTGTATTTCAGTTGTTTGCAATGAATGTGTTTGTTGCGCGAAATAGTAATTGTGCAAAAAACACAGGCGCAGAAGGTATAAAATAGGGTTTAAAACCATGACCGAGCTGAAAAGTGGGTGTAGATGTTAGGGAGGGGCTCGTAATAGGACCTAGATCTGGTCACTCCACTGCCCCGTGTAAGAAGCATTGAATTCTTCCTGAAAGTGGTGAATAAAGTGAAAAAGGTATACAATCCATGTAGTTGTGAAGGGTGTAGCTGCGTGCATTCTTGGAACCTGGCGTGTTTCTTGGATATTCCCACTTAAGACAACTATCATCCCACATATCTTGTGCTGTACCAAAACATTGTTATAATTGCTCCAGAACGGCAATATTCCACCAAAAGTGCAGCCTCCCACGTCCAGATGAAGCACGCAAACCCGCCCACTCCATCTCCGAGATGCGGAATATGTAACCTTGAGAGTGAATCACTGTGATATCAATGAAGGAGTGAAGTCAAATAGCAACAAAAATTAGACAAAGAAAAGTTGTGGTGGAATTAGACCCGAACAGTAGCGCGTCGTTGCGCACCGTCGCGAAGTCTGAACCGCATTCAACGCAACGGATAGGTTGGAGCGGCCACTCCGTTATTAGCACTGGAGCGCAAATGCTTAGATCCGATTGTTTCAACCGTGCGATTACTGCGAGCGCATGATTGCTCCAATCTCGTGATTGTTTCTAAACGCGAATATGGCGGTCGCCCTTATGAACCGTTGTCCAGCAATAGTAACTTCGAGATAGCGCGCCCGCCCGGCGGCGGGATATTCAGGTTAGTATTGCCTGTGATCTGACATTTGCCCATAACTCAGCTATCTTGTGAGTATCGCTTCATATCCTCCTTTTTCGCAGGAGCACTATCTGGTTGTTTACTACATTATGAGAGCCGTTTGCATCCGAGAAGAAAATCTGAGAAGCCGACTCAATTTTGATCAGAAGCAGCTGAGGCAGGTTTGTAGCTCTTCTTCTGCCCACAAAAAACCACTACTCGAATTTTATGTGCTTAGTTTCATTCTTACTTGTTTTAAGCTTCTTGCTGGATTGAAGAATGAGAAGCTGGTAAAGGATCGCTTACTCCAACAAAAGAATGAAACTGGGAGAAACGTGTCGATCATATTCTACTTTATCAACTATCGTGCTATTTTGAATGTCCTGAAATATAAAATTGATCACATGAGGTAGGTTTTTTAAAGCGCCGGCAGGCTTACGGGCCTGGATTGGGAGGGACATTTCAGTTTTGCTCTCCTTTTGCTAGATCATGTTAGCTAACAGGGCTCACTTTTTTGAGACCTATAAACACTTACGAACCTGTGAAGTGGTGTAAGTGGACCACTTTGATCATAGGAGTTTGCAGGTGTTCACAAGGTGCTACAAGCTTCGCTGAACACTATCTGGTGCCCCCAAAGCCGATCCGCGCCGTTTTTGATTTACATGACTCTCGCATTGTGCCGTGATATACCATGAGTTTTTTCAGACAAATGTTGGAAGCAAGGGAAAAGAACGAATTGCAGAAGGCGAACTATAAGTGCGACCAGTGTGGTGCACAGTATGAGGTGATCCTTTTAGTGGATGAGCTACTTTTTTACATTACTACTATTTTAAAGATCATCTGCATTCCAGGATATGGACATAGATCGTATATTCGATCCACAAACTGGCACGTTGAAGTGTTGGCGATGTCAAGGTGAGGTGACCCAAGATATCACGGGAGGACCCACTCAAGTGACCAGGTCAGCCGTAACACATTTTAGAGAGGATTGCTCTCCATAACACTGTCTGTTAAGGACGCTTCTAGCTCGGTTCAATGAACAGATGCTTCCTCTCTTCGCGGCTATTCGGGAGCTAGCTGGCGTTCAGTTGGCGCCACATCTTCTGGAACCAGATATCAATCAGTACTTGGCCGAGGAGGACAAAAGTTTGTATCTTCTCAATTTCATTAATGTAGTTCTATTATAACGTCCGTTCTAATGACAAACCTTACATTCCGCAGTCTTTTCTTTCTTTTCGAAGCTTCGGCTGAAGCATCTGGCTTACTAGTTTACAATTTCCTCGTCACTCTTACTACTTTCCATATACTGCGGTTATGCCACCCCCTTGAGACACATTCAGGTTGTCCGATGAATAGAATTCCTCCATTGTACAAGGTTACACGATAGGCATTTGCTCAAGTTGTATCACTTTTGTAGCTCGAAAGTTGGTGACTTGTGCCATGAGGCCGTCATTTGCCGTAGCAGCACCACCCACCGTTCAAGTTCATCCCTGGGTGGTGTTAGCGGCTCCACCCACAGATGGACGCCATTGCGATCATATTTAGGTGGAGAATGTAGAACCTTATCACTTCCCAGTCGCGTAAAAGGTGTTGCAAGCAAGGTCGCGTACGCAGCACCCTCACTAGGACCCAATACAGTCTACATAACAGTGGCGCTGTGCGTCGACTTTTTTTCCCTTTCCCCAAGTAAACTCGTACCTTACTGGGGGGGGGGGTACCTCCCCTCCCAGCTGAGAGCGCCGGTTTTAGCCTCTAGCCTGTCGTTGTCGCTAACTCCGTTTCATCGTCTCACACTTCTCTGCTTTCTCATCCAATAGTGAAAGACAGGAGAGCGCTTGCGACGGTTTCGCCTTTTTCTCCTCACTGGAAAGCCACCCTGCAATGTGAAATTCACCAATACCCGACTACACACGACTCGCGAAAAGTGTTTTTGAAGGCAGCTGGCACGATAAATCCCTAAGACGAGTAGGATTAATACGCCTGGCAGGACGAATGCACGACCCGCAGCAGGGCTGCGTGCGAATCTACCATGCAAGCACCTTATAAGCGGCGCTATCAAGCTGCGACTTTTCGACCACCAAACGCCCACCCACCCCGCCCCCGCCCACAATATAGCACGACCTGTCTTCCTGACGCGTCTAATTGATTCATTTGCCTAAGCCAAATTATGAAGCCAAGATTGTTGAAGCAGCAGCTTGACGCTCGTGCTGCATGATACCATGCGTACATACGTGCAGCCCTATCTACTATAGCGTTTATTGGCAAGATGCCTACGGCAAACTCGTCCAAAATCGCTTCCTGAGCCATCAAGAATGAATGCTTTTCTTCGCAGGTTTTTGGCCGTTTCACTTCATTTTTTCGCCATTTTCCTACTTATAGAGCGCCCTGCTAGCATTTTGGATTAAGTACCAAATTATCGTGCCAACTGCCTTGAAGTTCTGTCCCAAGTGCAGCTAAAATTACATGAATAAAACTAAACTTTCTTCTTCTATGTATATCCAGTTTGACAGAAAAGCTGTAGGTTGAAGCTTGCTAACCCTTTAAAGTGCACACTCACCTCCCTGATCCTGATCCTTGTGCGGGGTGTGGGGGTGGGGGTGTGGTATGCAGCCACAGTAGCGTGCTACTTTCTCCGCAAGAACCGAAACGGCTGGAAGCTAACGACAGCCGGGGGTCTCTTACGACTCCAGCTTCCAGCGTCGCACATCCAGCCAGGCGCGTAGCCATATCCAAACGCGCTACTTGTCTGCTCTTTCTCACTCCAGGTTGTTTTGTACCGCTAACTGCGTGTTTAGATACAGGACATTGGTATCCACGTAAGTGCTGCACCTTGAGGATAGCGCTATTTGGTGTTGGCATCAGAGTAACACTCCAGCCCCACTTCTGCGCACTGTTGAGTAGAGAAAGAGTTACGCTACTAGCTTCGAATAGGTAGTCGCTTAGGATACTGCAAATACCGTTCTCACAGTTTTCTAACTTCCAGCAGAAGATCTCGTACACCTCGTATAGCCGGACTGTTAGGCGCTAAACATCTTGCTTGTTCCGCTCTTCCGTGTAGTTGACCTGCTATGTGTGCGTAGCTTGTCCCTTTTGACCCCCAATTCTTCTCCGTCACTTCCGTTTATTCGGCCATATTAACATCCCCGAAAGTCGTAACCTTGCGCATCACCAGCAGCAGCAGCGTGCTTTCTTATCAAGATGGTCTAGCAAACATTTTCAGTGGAACACGTTTGCTGTTCAACCAGACAACAAAAGGAGTTTTTAGGCCGCGGAGACCAACAAAGCAACTCGTCGATCTCGAGCGCAGCGGGGTGGCCGCGACGTGGCACAGGCTTGTTGCTCCGTCCCACTTCGTACCACAGTGCGACCGATTCAATAAAAATTTGCCAATGCTGATCAAAATTAACTGTGCGATGTTGAACGCTTGCATATCAAGATAGGTTAGTTCAGGTCCATGGCGTATTCATGCAAAACAATGGTTGCCTTGCTTTTCAGTTGAAATTCGGGTTATTTTTGCTTTTCATGGAAATATACTACGTTTTCGTCACTTAACTTCTGGAATGGAGAACTTCTATAGATTTATGTCCATCTTAACTCTTTAATTTCTTCAGAAACCAGATCGAAGGAGGCGAAAGTGGTTCCAACATGAGCTTCCAAGATGATCGAATTGCGGGGGGTGTCGCGAACAAAAACAATTGTGGACGATGTCCTTAGGAAATGGACTGATAGTGATCTTACGTAATCTTTTCCTGCTGGAATTGAACCACATTCATATTTCAGACCTCTACTGTTTCACTCGAGAAAAAAACTTCACCTAAAAAGTAATCGCGATCCTCCCTGCCATCTAAGAATTCTTTCCGAGCACTTGAAGTTGGGTGGCGGGTATACCTCATGTGTCGGTCATCCGGGGTCGTTGAGTTTGATGGCCCGAAATTGAAAATATTGAGAGACCTCCAGGAAAACGACACGCCCAACGAGACCGAGAAGAGTCACGAATGGTGCACCGGAAGGTGACGAGGAAGAGGAGGATGACGAGGAGGAAGAAGAGATGATCTCTGTTGCCGGAAAGATGGTTGGTTTCTTACTATCAAAATTTTCAACAATCAAATCTTCTGTAGGACGTCTAATTATCTTAACCTTGCGGTAGACATAGCTTGTTGAAGTAATTGATGTCGTCTCTAAAGGCAAACAGTACACTCACTTGGGTAAATTCCTCTGTGCGAGGTGAGCGGGTTCGCTGCTAGAAGTATAACACTTTCGCCATCTATATGGGCGCGGGAACGATGGTGGAGCGTGGTGAAAGATGGATGTCGCTTGATTCTGTACCCACTCGACGTCTACAGCGGGCACCTTGTGTCGATGCCGAGGTTTCGTAGCGAACAACATGCGTGGCAGGCTGTCTATCGCGTCTAAGTGTAGATAAGTGCTGAGAGCAACAGCAACCTACTAAACGGGAGAGGTGCACACAAGTAGCGCGGTTGACTTAGCTAGGCATATAGCTAGTAGGTAGGGCGGCGTGTCACGTGCAACGTGCTTCATCTGTGATTGGAGCTCCGGATGGCGTTCATCTACAAATACCCCAGCCTCGTTTGTGATAGCCCCACTTCTGCAGCTGCGACCCGCTCACCTCGCATATAGCAAGAATTGTGACTTTGAAGGTGAGTGTACAGCTATCCCCGAGAAGGGTACGGACTGAGTGGAATAGGTGGTTTCGAGCAATCCAGTTTATGGTCATAGCCATACGATGCGACGAGATGTGGAGGTGTGGCATAAGCCCAACCGAGACTGCACTTTCTTCCAGTAGCGGTAGGTTTGATAGTAGAATCGGTTGCAGTAATTGCCACTACATCTACTCCCTAAACTGCCATTACTGGGAGAGAGCTCGTTCTGCTCCTGTCACCGCTCGTCGCTTCGCATCGCTGTGCACTGTACATATAGGAGATTATCATGCGAACAACAGATCCAATGCGCATGTTCTTCGTAGATGGGCTGGAAACAAGGAAGTTAGTCTTAATTCTGCTTCACTGTCCATGGTGCACGGGTATAATAGTGGAGAGCCGCAGACTACCTGATTTTGATAATAATGGATATCATGCTATGTTCTGTTCTGAACTAGAATCTTGTGCTCAAACTCTCTTGCTCCAGACGAGAGCAGTAATGCTGTGATTACACCAAAAAGAGCGGGACGGGCTGGTTGCTGTTAGGGCAAGAGGGGTGCAGTCAGCATTGAGAGTAGGCCACTCCCTCTCCTGCTCGTTTGCACCCCTCCAGTGCAGTTCGCCGACGAGGGGGGCATTTTGCACTTTCGCTGCTTTACTAGTTCCGGTTTACAAGTCTCACTCTGGTGAAACTGTGAAGCTCTTGTGAATCTGGAGTAAGCTCGTCCAGCTGCTAGGTAAGACTTGCGAACTCGTGTAATCTCACGAAGTGGCTCTCTAGAATGGTCGCTTAGTAGTGACAAAAGTGCAAAATGCACCCCTCCCCCAACTCAACCCCGTCGGCGAGCTGCTCAGTTTGGCGAGATTCACTTCATCTGTCTTGCATTCAGTCTCAGACAGCGCAGTCAAACAAGGAATGACTAGGTGGCGGCTGGCTATCCTCCCTTCAGTGCCCCAGTTTCCATGATCATGGTATTAGCTTCCACGGTCAGGGGAGCTTGACCTTCAGAACACGATTACAACCTCCGCTTGATACGAATCCGCTTATCGCCAGCTCCAAAATATCCCAATTTGGTGTAAACCTGCCCCAGGAATACGTTGATCTCGTGTACACGAACCTCACATCCGGTCGGTCCGTCTGCGTTAAAGGCGACGGGACACTGCCTGTGCCTGTTTTTACTCCTGCGCGTGAGACAAGGCTGTTCTAGGCTGAGCGTAGTGCTAGGGCAGTCGAGCGAGACAGTGCAACACCCGTTCCCGATGAGAGTGATCCTACCTCTGCAAAGGAAAGGACCCTGTTGCGAGGAAACGAGCAGAAGAGCTGAAGCAGGCAGTACCCCATCCCTTGGCCCCCCACGCAGATGTAGTACTCGTGGTAAGGAGCCAAACTACCCCTGAGGAAAATCATTCAGTGAACTTGTTAGGGTACTTTGACGCCGGTCTAGCCAATTCAATGCCAAACGGGTGCTTTACTTGTGGTCAAATGGTCAAACTATCTCTGGGGACCGATTTTCACACAACTCGAAGTG